TATGAATAGTTACATGTTATTGCTGGGATTGCCTAGGTGATCAATATGGCTAATCAAGCACATTACATTTTTTGTATATGCAAGAATTTACCAGGCCCAAGGCCATCATAAAACTAAAACAAAATTCAAGTGTTAAGGCTGATGGTCTTTTATTATTATTATTTTAAGGAGCAGCACTTATGATATGGTTGTTTTACTATGAATGTTCTCCTTAGGAATTTTCTTCAGTCAAACCAGTAAGGACCATTTAAAGTGCTCTTAATAGGGTAGCAGTTTTCCAAATACACTGGAATAGTTCATCATCTGTTTAAAAAGGTAAATAAAAGATTTTTAATAAACAGTAACAAACCAAAACTATAGGAACATCTCTGAAATGCTCCCAAGATTTAAGCACTATCAATTTTACGTCACTTTAATTTTACCTTGCATGCTGTATTCAGAGACTATTTGCAGTTACAAAAGGACAACTTAATTGAAAACATTTTAAGTACTTATCAAGTGGTTGCTCTGAGAACAATAACGATAAGAAACTATAAAAATCACCTAAAGAAAACCTATACATAAATTGACATGGACCATACAAAATAAAATGTAACAATATTTCGTTACATTTAATTGGATAGTTTCCTATATCAATTTATTCACTAAAATTATTTAAGGTGTTGTCATTAATATATATTTTTTGAAAATAGCATGTGTTTTAACTAAGGAGATATATATTGTTCATGTAGTATTTCAGATGTTATGTCTTTTGTTGTATATTTTAAAAGTTCTCTTGATTTGAAGCAACATAGCACAAAATAAGAACCTGAGTTTCAGGTAGCCCTTTTTCCGATTACAAGGAAATATTAAATGAGAGTCAAACCATTTTTCCCTTTGAGGGGGACAAGTAATTAGTTCCCCGCTAACACTTATGCATTTTGCTTGAAAATACATCTTAAATGCATCAAGCTTTTCAACTAGTTTAATTAAATGCAGAGGCTTCACAAAAGTTACTGTAGGGCAGTGTTATATCCTTAACTCCAGATTAAGAATGGTTTTTGAAATGTTTTTCTATGCTGAGCAACATCTATGGCTTTAAATTTGTAAATTTAACTAATACTATCTTGCTCCTTATTCTGTCACCATTCAGCTCACCAGACCTTTGATGTTGTTTCAGAAAAAAATATTAGACCACAAATCATCTCTGAATTAAAATTAGGATACAGGAATAATAATAATAAAAAAAAATTGAAGTTCAAGCAGGCCTTAAAAAAAAAAACAACACCACATGTGAGAATTAACTTGTCATTTTTTGGAAAGTCATTCTCTTTAGTTTGCTTTTTTTGCTTGTAATAGTTAAATATGTTATTGTTTTCTAAACTGGGGAGGAGGGGGAATTGCACAACTCTTTTTTTCCAGGACTGCTAATCACCATTAATGTTATAAACCAGCGCTTTTCCTTTGGGTTGAGAAAGTATTTTGCTTTAAATAATAAAAAGCTGATATAAAGTAGTTTTATATTTTTATGTCTCTCTTATCTCAAAATACATATAAAATGTAGAATTTAAAGTTGCTATACACCTGATACAGAAACACAGCAATGTCATTATGGTCAATTTCCAAACATTATTTGATAAATGCCAACAAACTGTTTTCCACTACATAGAAAAATAGGTTAAAAACTAAAATAAAAAAAAATAAAAAAAAAATCAAGATTCACTGACATTGTGTTTTGCTGTCTTTTCTTGCTTTGGTAACTTCAGGTATTTTAAACAGTTTGCATTATAAGATGGAAAATAGTTCACAAGTAGTTGAATGGGAAATATAGCAGTCACGTCAAAATAAGGGACACTATCCAGATGGTTGTTTTTTTCCTTCGTTAGTCAGAGATCAGTTACCGTGCTTGCCTGAAGTGGTGTATTCAATGTTTCTTTGAGGTCGGAAGCTCAGGTTGTAATAATATGAATCAAAAGGAAATGTATCGCTGTTTGAAGTGATAAAATATCAGCTTGAAGGTAAGCTGTGACTGGTATTAAATCGCAAAGAGAAAGTTTTAGAGCATCTTTCTATTTCAAAATGTTACCCAACCCCATAAAAAATAATTTTCTGTTTTGTATTAGTTTGTTTAATATGAAAACAAGAATGACCAAAATATTTGGCCTACTGTAGATAGGTAAATAATCTCTTAAATTACTTGTCAGCAGCAAAAAGACTCTTCAATGTAAGTGTCTTAACCACTGTACAGCTTGATATTTAATACTTCAACAGGTATTTTTCATTTTCATTGTTGAAGAAATAATTTCACAATCTCAAATCAAAGTCAACACTGCAGTGAGGAGAGCTTTTCTACTTTATTACAAAGAGAAGAAGCCTTTATGTGGTCAGAAAATACAAGATTGATCTTTTTTTTCTCTTCCTATGAAACGCTGCTGTTCAAACAGCCAGAGTGAATTGTCTCAGTTCACTTCTTTAAGTCCCATCACATTCACTTGGGTATGGATGTCCTTGGCTGCTGAAAATCTGGCCCTTTAGTGCACAGGGCGACAAAGTAGTCCCCTGACCAGCAGTTCCAGAATGTCCCGTTTTCATATATTGCATCCATGCACACCTCCTAAAAATGAGGTACAGCAGGGCAAACATTTTCCAAAATAGATGTCATATATATAATATATACACATTCGTACATACATACCTTTATTCATGTGATGTCCAAAAATTTAAAAAAAATGTACACATTTATTACAAAATCGTAACAAAGACTGGACAGTGTTTTGCTCATTCTGGAAAGATGAAGCTCAGTAATACACAACTCCGGACAACTAACCAGAGGTTGTGGCAATATCTTTCTTCTAAACAGTCAGATATTCTTGCATTAAGCTTGGCGAAAACTGCCTTTCGAAAACAGAAGGGGAAGTAAAATGAAGGAAGCAGACCTTGCTCATCTTTCCAAATGAAATACGAGAAGGATCTTCACATAAAAATGCACAAACATTTTTTATTACCAATAGTGCTACAATGAACAATGCAAATTTTGTTGTCTAATTTTTTGTCTTTTCCTTTTTTCTTTTTTTTCTTTTTTACATTTTGGAAACTAAGTGGTAAATTTTTGTCAGTGTACTCGCTTGTCTTTACAGACCCAAGCTTGTCTGCTGGCAAAAAATAAAAATAAACAGAAACAAATTCAGACCCTGCTCAAACTAAAGAAAAACAAATGACAAATTTAGTTGTTGGGCAGCACATAATTAGTAAGGCAGGACCTCAAATGGTGACCCTTTGCATGAGCCAATTGCCAGATCCTCAAGGAATTAAAACCAGGATGCCTGAGCCACATCAGTTCTGCAGTTATGTTGAGTATTGTGCTGAGACAGCCATACCCCAAGAAAAGGGAAGTCTTTAGAAGGCTTGCTGAGCAGGGTTGTAGTTGAAAGTTGATGGCAGATGAGGCCTTTCTTCTAGTTTGTCATATTCCAGATGGAACTCCTACAATTAAACAAAGACAAATAAATCTTTAATTACTGGTACTCTTTCATTTATACATGGAAATATCTGTGTATACTTAACAAATTTTCTTAAATTACTTGTAAAAGCAGCATTTTAATATAAGTCCTAGTTTACTAATAGGGCTAAAATAAAGCTTGCTTAGTTTGCAATCACAGATTTTTTAACATGCAAGATAGTCAGTATGCTTCAGTGCTGTCTGTAATGGTGCCATCTTCCCCATTTTTTCCAGCGGTGAGTTAGCCTCACCAGCTGAGTTGTGAGCACTTAAAGAGTTTAGCACAGAGCCAGAATACAGTATGCAAGTAAGTCATTAGCAGAATTTTAAACAAAGCATTTAACACTTTAAAAGAGCTTTATGAAGACCTATTTGAGATGCAACACCACTCAAGTTTGGGGGTATTTTGGTGCCAGCTGTCAGATGAACTCAAATTAGTTAGAAAGATCACAAAGCCAGGGTTCTCTTTTATGACATTAAATACAAAAGCAACACACAAGCATATAAAGAGACCATTTAAATCAATTTAAGAATCCCAGATCTAATAACTCTTGTATCCATTTTTGCATATTCAGATTTAGTCAGCATTCCTTTACATTATCTGAGCCACTGATAAAAGCCTGACTATAATGAACTTTGATGATGTCCCATTAATTTCAAAGCACTTAATAAACTATTATAATGAATGTTGGATCTCAATCAATGTACAGCGATGCCATACAGATACTGATTAATAAATGGATAGTTCTTTTCCTTGCTAATACAATACCTTGAATTATTGCTTGAGGATGTTTAATATGTATAAGTATAAACATTTTAGTCATTTAGCTTAAGGTTGTATTTTGATGCATTCGTTAAGAGACAGTTCAAGGATGCTTACTGTTTGGATATTTCTTGATACTTATCTTGTGAACTTAAAACTTCTTTTAACATCTTTAATTTCTTCCCATGATCCCACTTTCTACCATTCTAATTTTTGTGTTCTCCCCTTGGGATTTTCTGAATGCATGTTAAAATACATTAAAACAGAAAAACTATGGGCTTTGCATCATTTTACTATTTTAAGCAGTCTGATACATTTCCTCATCCTTATTTTACTTTCATTCACAAAGTGAATATTTAATTGAAACTGTTAATTTGGCAACATTCTGTTACCTCAGAAATAACCACTCGGTGTTAAAGAAAAACTTCTATCTTCAACAGTAAGAGTAATTGGTAATTTATTCTAACTCAAACAAGGAACCTCTTTTGTATGGTAAACTTGACTGCTATGGATCTTCTCTTTATTCCTGTATACTGATGAATACACTATGAGCAGTGAACAAAAAGTCTCACTGTACCATTGTCTGTAGTTTAATATTGTAGCATTTGTTGTACAGAAGGTGAATTAAATCAGAATTGTTTAATTCTAATCCGAACTTGATCTCTGACTCAATTCCAGACCTCTCAAACTTTGTTTCACCTTATAGATGCCTGGCACTAGGAAGATCTTTACTACAGTAAAGAGAGTTTAGTTAACAATAAGAATTCAGTGAATTTATATGCCCACAGTTATCCCTAACCCCGGGGGGGATGGGGGGGAACGGGGAAAAAAAAAAAAAAAAAATCACAGTAGGATTTGGAAAAGACTGTTCATCTGCATAAGAACCTCATATACTCTTGCTATGGCACCTTTCTTCTGCATTCACTTCTTGGGGACCTTAATTCTGCATTGTGCTTTAATATATCCAAAAAACTTAATACAGTGACAGGCCATATCCCAAAAAGTGTACCTTCCCCTTTTTGTGCAGGTCCATGCATGTAATGTATGGCAGAGCCCCCTCTCCTCCCCCTCATTCTCCTTTCATGTGGAACAAGTTTGGCACATTAACCCTGCTCTTTATTTTGTAAACCACTTTGTATAAAGCAAAATGTACTCTTCAAACTGCTTCCTTCCCCACATTGCATTGGATGGTTCTCAAAGTATCCATTCTGCACTTAACTGAACAATGATCTGCAGGTTACCCTCAAGTCTACGGACAACTGTCTAGGAATTGCTACTTCAACAAAAACTTGGCAAAGGAAAGGATAAATGCTAAGACACTAAATCAGTTTTCTTGAGTCTGGTCATATTCTGGAATGCATAAGTATATGGATTTTCAACACTACATGTGGACAATGGCTGGTTGAAATGAAAAGATAGATTAAAAAGTTTAAGACAAGGAATCTGACTGACTAATAAGGGTTCCTTAGATCTGTATGAATTGAGACTTCCTAGTGAATCAACTACTTCAAAATATCCATAAGTTGTAAATTATGTAAGCATGAAAATAGATTTTTTTTCAGTGATGTTGTCTCATGTAAGCTGAGGTACTGAAGTGTCCCATATCCAGAAATATGCAAGTTATCACAAAAGAATATAGGTGGGGGGGAAATCACCAAACATTCCTTTGGAAACCAAAATTCGGGTATTTATTGCATATAGGAAAATAATTACACACATGTCATGTTTTTATATCTACCATGAATTTGGGTATGAACAGCAACAATGAATGTATTATATATGGGGGGGGGGGGGGCCGGCAGCAGGGGAGATCATGCTCTGGGGCAACCAGCTTGGGTTCAAAGGCAGGTTCTGCCTGACCAACCTGATTGCCTTTTGTGACCAGGTAACTAAATCCTTGGATGATGGTGTTGCTGTGGACATAGTCTTTCTAGACTTTAAGAAGGCCTTTGACACTGTCTCTCACCCCATTCTCATTAATAAATTAAGCGACTGTGGCATTGATGCCTACACAGTTGGATGGGTGAAAACTGGCTGATGGAGCGCACTGAGTAGTGGTGGACGGGTCGTACTCAACCTGGCGAGATGTGAGCAGTGGGGTCCCCCAGGGCTCGGTCCTCAGGCCCGCACTGTTTAACATCTTCATCAATGACTTGGACAAGGGGGTGGAAAGCAAGTCCAAGTTTGCTGATGACACTAAGATGTGGGGCGAGGTGGACACACTTGAAGGGAGAGAGAGGCTGCAACTAGATTTAGAGACTACAAAAGTGGGCATATGAGAATAGGATGGGGCTCAACGCAGATAAAATGCAGGGTGCTGCACCTTGGGAGAAGGACTCCACAGCATACATACAGGCTGGGGAGTTCCCCTCTTGAAAGCACAGAGGCCGAACGGGATCTTGGAGTCATTATTGACTCCAAGATGAACATGAGCCGCCAATGCCAGACCACAGCCAGCAAGGCCAGCCATACCTTGTCATGCATGCAAAGGTGCATCTCAAGCTGGTCCAGAGAGGTGATTCTCACCCTCTATGCGACATTGGTCAGGCCGCAAGTGGAGTACTGCGTCCAGTACTGGGTGCCACACTTTAAAAAGGATGTGACCAGCCTGGAGAGAGTTCAGAGGAGGGCCACCCATTTGGTGAGAAGGCAGCAGGACAGGATCTATAAGGAGAGACTGAGGAACCTGAACCTGTTCAGCCTTGGCAATAGGAGGCTGAGGGGCGACCTGGTGGCTGCCTACAGACTCATCAGGGGAGATCATCAGCAAATAGGAAGAGCCCTATTCTCCCCAGCACCACCTGGGGTGATGAGGAACAACGGTAATAAGCTGATAGAGAATAGGTTTAGGTTAGAGATCAGGAGGCAATATTTTACAGTTAGGGTGGCCAGAATCTGGAACCAACTTCCTAGGGAAATGGTCTTTCCCCTACCTTGGGTAAAATCAAAAAGAGGTTAGATGATCACCTGTCTGGGGTTTTGTGAACCCAGCATTCATTTCTGCCTGTGGCAGGGAGTCAGGCTAGATGATCTGTTCAGGTCCTTCCTGACCCTAGCTACTATGAAACTATATACAGTTATCAAGGAAAGGGAAAAGCTGCAGATTGTGTATTAAACAAGGACTGGTTAAATTAATTTAGCTTTTAATTCTGATATGAATGCAGTGATTTTTTTTACAGTGTTTAATTGAGGAAAAGGATAGCATATTTACGGGAAACACCTAGACATACGTGTTTATTTCTTTAGTGATGGGCAGGTGTAGTGAATTCAAATCACTTATTTGCCATGTCATTCTGCTAGCTCATACTGACTAGTGAGTACACACACAAAATACTAACAAGCATCAACACCAAAATGAAATGGAACTGCTTAGGTCAATTCCCAAGACTAAAGGAATGAAACACTCAAAGTTTAGGCTGAATAGGTCGGAGGAGGAGAAGGAGGGAGTTTTGATGGCAAAACTTCATTAGTTTGCCAAGGGAAATGGTAGAAGCCATATTAATATATGCAGTTTTAACATCTGTCTGAAAACACTAACACAGGCTACAAAATGAACATGAAGGCCCAAATAAAACGTGGGAATTAAAGAGACCCATAACTCTGTGTTTTGCCGATTATACAAATATGTAAATTAATATGAACCTTAAATATTAGAAAGATATTTGTAAAAGCCACCAGCATTTTTCAAGTGTAGGATGAGGACATAGATTTAAGTTACCATAAAGAATTTAACTCTTACAGATAAAAATGTCCTTAATTTTGTTTCTTAGATAACTTCTCACTCTTTAAATGGAGAAATTCGAGAATTTTAGTTGGAAGAATTTAACCAAGACTTCCTGAAAATGTGATACTGTGGGAGGCACTTCCCTTTCTCCAGTGTCTGAGAGATGTTGCCGTCTTCTCAGAAGTTCCAACAAAAATAAATATCTAATAAGAATGATTTTGCTTCACCTGCACAGTATAAAACCAAACCATCTCTACCTATGTTGTACTTTCCATATGGAACAGAACAAAAATACATTTATATCGTATTTGTAATCAGCATTTCCTTGACCTCTCTTTCCAAGATGCATGTAAACTTGCATTCATCATTATTCAAATACTTAGGCTATTTAACTACACAAAGTGAAATCCATTTGATTTTATTTTCATGGAAGTTTAGGAATGGTCTCATTGCTTATTTCATTTTGAATCATTTCCTTCTTCAGTCTGTTAAAGTAAATATTTAAGCAAAATCCATTCTTTATTAAACAAAAGATCTTTTCTTTTTCATGAACACGACTGCTTAATCTAGCTTTATTAGATTTTGTTGAAGTCAGTCTACGATATTGTCACAAAAAGGTTATTAAACTGCATGTGTATTCTATACTTTTTACAAACTGTGCCTGTCTTTTAGTAATATAACCCAAAGAATGCACCTACATTTCATTTCATCTTACCTAGTTGCATTACAACCTATTCTTGAATTTAAATGATTGTTTGTGCATTTTCAAATATGTATAAAAAAAGACACAATAAGTTTATATTTGCACAACCAGCAAGTGTACCTGCATTTAGATATGTAATGGACAATTTGACTGCCCTGAAATAACATTAATGAACAATTAAATGATAATTAGTAATATGCACTTTTCTAGGAAAAAGTGTTATTTCTTAATATTAGCTAACATTTAATTTGCTATAAACAGTATAATGAAAATAGCTTTTAAAGTAAAATCATCTTTAAAAAATGGATTTCCCATCATTGGGATATGTTTTGTACAACTTTATATATGTATTAATTATCTGGAACTCAAATTTTCTAACGTAAGGTAAAATACAATATCCTCCATATTAAAAGCAGCATTTAATCAAATAAGGTCTTTTTTTCCTACTAAACCATCTGGAATTGGTTCCAGATATTAAGGTAAAAAAAAAATGGTATCAAATTTTTCAAGCCATAAGGCCACATGCTTGATCTCTGCCTATAAATGACTCCTGCTTGCCAAAGATGGAGGGTTCACACACAGCTAACAACAGCAAGCATAGCTAACTAGCTGTTTTTTCTAGAGTTCAAAAAATAAGGTTTTTTCAGAATCTCCTAACCTCTCCCCATCACCCTTTATTCAGCTTTCTTGCTATATACCATACCAAAATTAATAAGAAAAATCTTCAGAGTAACATACCAGTTCCCATCCTTGCACTCATAAATATGTCTAGAAAAAAAATGCATTTCCTCTACAGATGGAGTCTGGAAAAGTTAATGCCTTGTCATGTAAATACCTTTCCAAACAAGCTATTAGAAGAATTCTAGAAGAGAATGCAGACAAGCTCTTTTCTTCCCCTAACAAGCCCCCAGTTCCTTCTTAATACTTGACAAATTTATATTCAGAATGTGAATAAGGCAGCAGAACCGGTGTGGAAATGCAGAGGCAGTGCATTTGGAGAACAGCTATAATTAATAGTTCTATAGGACACCACCCGTGCAGAACCCTACTGTGGGAGACTCACTGTGCATATTCCCACAGGAGGGATAAAGAGCACGAGTCAGACTGAAGCAACTGCTCTCTTGAATTAAGCACCCTTTCTGAATTCCATAGATACTACTGCTTAAAAAAAAAAAAAAAAAGACTCAAGCTCCATGTAGTCTTTTGGAGCTTGATTCTATTTCTGTTGGCATACAGGGAATAGACACTACAGAGTTTGCTATCCCTGGATGCTTCGGGGGGATTGGACACAACAACAAAACAGAGCTTGGCAAACCCCTGCACCAAGCACACCCAGGAGAGGGTATCACTTTGACCCGACTTGCCCAGCATCTGTGTAGCTCACACACTTCAGTGGGGACTTTTTGGCACTACTATCTAATATAGTGAATTGAATTAGCTGTTAGATAAAAGTGTGAAAAGCCCTGCTGAAGCATGTAAGCTATACAGGTCCTGGGGAGCTGGGTCAAATTGAGGCAAGTGCTCTTCCATTAAAGCACTGTTTTTGGGTTTTTTCCTTTTTCCATGTCTGTCAGCACCCTTTGTGGCAGAATGGGTTAATTCCTTTGACTACATTCATTCTAATTCTGATTTATTTGCAGAGCGTCTGAAAACAGATTTTGATCTATTTATCCAGACTCGGAACTGAAAATACATGGCTTCACTCAAGAAGCTGAAAGAAGTTGGCTTCCAAAATAGTTTTTCCTATCTATTAAAAAGTAATGCATAATTCCTCTCCAAACACCTCACATACAGCTCTATTAAAAATCTATTGGAGGCTCAAAATACTGATAATTGATTTCAATTTCAAATCTACAATTCAGTCTTAGCCTCATTTTTGTATTCAGGCATTGAAATTACTTTTTACTTATGAAAAATTGTACAAGGAAGGTTTGCCATTAAGATAGTTAGTAAGGAAATTAGCTTGCCTGTATTATAGCCACTGGTGGGGGCATCTAAGCAACCTGTAACACATATCAAGAGGTCAAAGAGAACCTCCATAAATTTGAGAGAATTAAATGTTAATTTCTTAGTAAAATGGTTTTAATAGTCTCATTGATAAAACAGAAAGAAGAAAAGGCTGAACAGCAGTTATATGGTGATCAGAGCTGGTAATTAAATACACTTCAACTGTAAAGACAAACCTCAACCAATTAAGGTCAGAGAAAACCCAACGTCAGGGGAGAATACTGAAAATAATTCCCTTTGGCCTCTGACCAGGTCTGAAAAACATTCATTTTCAAGCATACAACTGCCTATTTTCATGATTCCAAAGTGCAAAGACATGACTTGTTCTGAGAAGTTCAAAACCCCATGATCTAGCTAGCCAGCAATTAGACTTTTAGGTTGAATGAAAGAGTTGCCCTCTAACCTGAAGCAAGAGACCTGAGAATAGGGAAGGACAGTGATTAGAGATTCCTGGACATGACTAATATCCAGAAGTTACATCTGCTAAACCCGTTTCAAGATAAAAGCTGGGTCCTGACCTGCTGAATTTGTTTCAGAGCTTTAAAACAGAAGAAAAAGTGATGTAGCAAGTTCATTCCCTGGTTCCTAAGAAATATCTGACACTAAAGGTTTCTGCCTACTACTAGTGATTCAAACATTTCTAGTCAAACATGAAACAAACAATGTTGTATCAACATACACACATGGCAAAATTAAAATGCGTCACTGATTCCCTGAGGGTTCCTATGACTCAATCAAATGCATTCTCTATGAGGAGGATTATTTTCAACTCAAACCAGAGGTCAAGCTGAAGACATCTCTTTTCGGTATGCAACATCCCCAAAGGTACACAGCCTCTTTCTACAGCAGAAGGCAAATTTATTTTTAAGAGTTCAAATAATATGTTGCTATAATATTGAATAAATATCCTCACTACCTGGTGTCTAAAACTGAACAGTGGTGTGAAAAAAAGCACTTTAAAACTTTTTTTTTTTTTAAATGAGCTCTATCATGGCAAACAAATGCTAGCAAAGAAAAAGTGTCTTACAAAACACGACTCAAACCTACAGTAAAATGTTATTACTAAATTCTACAAAGTCGCTGACATTAATTCTGTATAGGGAAAAAGTAGCTGCTATTTAATGTTATGTGACAGAACAAAAAGAAATGGGGGGGGGTTGTCCTTTTTTGTGTCTTGGCCCAGAAAGAGGGATCTGAGTGCATACGAACTCAGAAAGTGTGATGCTTTTAAAAGGATACTGAAGAACAAGTGATAGAATGTAAAATACCTACAGTGTGAATCTACTGGAACAAATCATGAAGATTTTTTTTAAAGTGGAAAATAAGACGTTTGTGCTACACATACAATTTTCCAAACCAAACAGTATTGGCGCACGGCTCCTGAATAGCAAATAGAACTTCTTATTCTTTAGTACAGGAACTAAAAAAAACCATTTGATTTGTGTCCTAGAAAATGGTAAATACTATGTCTATCCACGTAGAGCAGGGCTCTCCAAATGGTGGTCCATGGATCTTATGCGATCAACCAGTGAGTGGTTAAATCATGTCCTGCAGGGCCAGAAATTCTCTAGCAAGGTGAGCAGCAGTGCTATTAAACCCTGAGGCTGCCAGACCTGTTGTGTCAGTAGAGCCAGACCAAAGGGAAAGGTGCGGTGTACATGTGGGGCAAGAGTTAAGAACCTGCTACAGAATTGCTGGGTTGAGATCCTCACTGCGAACACATTTTGGCAGTGAGGTAAGTGATAGGAGAGTGATCAGCACACAGGGGTTAACACCACTGCTGCTCAGCCTGCTCTTACCTCCCCCCCCCCCCCCCCCCCCACCTTCTTCCCCAACTAGAAACAGGTTGTGTAGCCCACGAGAAGCCCCAAAGTTTAGATATAGCCTGCCACCCTAAAAGTCCTAGAGGAACATAAAGTGAAATGGGTCCTCTTCCCCAATAATGAACCAGCATTTTAAAGGAACCCTTAATATTCTCCTACATCTGAAATCAAAATCTGAAAGATGGGTGATAAAAGGGAACTTGCTTAAGAGCTGGAACACAAACAGGAAGAATGGATATGCGCAAGCGTGCGCGTGAACACACACACACACTCTCTCTCTCTCTCTCTCTCTCTCTCTCTGCATAAGGAAAAAGAGATACCTTAGCTACTTTCCTCCAGTTAAGACAATCAAAGAAGTAATATGTTCCCCTCTCATATGTATTGGTTTTCATTGTTGGCTCCATGCCTGGTGCCCTGGTGATCCATACTCGCTCCTCTTTGTGGTATCTCCAATCTCGGTTAAAGCTTTCATTTTTAAATTGGGAAGAAAAATAAATTTGTTAGCTGCTTTCATTTTAGCACATACACACATGCTTTAAAATAGAAGTTAGCACTTTGACAAAACACCGCAATATGCTTATATTAAAGCATAACTTTAAATCCATAAAACACCAGCTTATCTCCTCTATCATTTCGACTTCCTACAGTTGTTTATTAACCCTTATCCTAATCAAAGACAAAAGTTTTGACTATACCAGGTAAGAAGCTGATCTACTTGCATAGTACACTTTTTTCTGAGCTTCATTTACTCTCACTAGTTTTGCTGTGGAGTTTTTAAATAATCAATTATAAAAATTGTTGGTATCTATATACCAATTATCCTCAAAGTATTTTTATAAGCAATACAAAACCCATGAGACAGGTAAATTTTATGCTTGTTTTACAACTGAGGAGACTAGAAGGAAACCCATTTTGGAGTAGGTACTAGAACACTTGAGCTGCAGGTGCAAGTAGACTGTGCCTATATTAGTAGGACTTAACACTAGAAATTGCTCTTCACTTTTTGAGCAAAGTACTACTTGGTTTCTGCAATAAGTTATACTGTATATAAAAACTGGCCAAAAGTTTGAACATACAGCTCTACTGCTGCTAATAGCTGTAATACATCTCCTCCATTCATGTAATAGAGATAAAACAGAAGATCTTCTCCATAGCGGCCAAGTTTTATTGCAGCCAGCTGCAAAAGATAAGAGAAATAAAGATGTGAAACCACATATAGGTTAGATAGCAGATACCATTTAAAATGACAAAAATCATTATACACAATATAAGCAGATTTTGGTATTAACCAGAGGTGGGCAAAATGTGGCCTGTGGGCCAGATGAAGCCCACCAAGCCATTCTATCTGGCCTGTGGGGCCCCTAAAAAATGTAGAAAATCAATTTTCATCTGCCCCTAGCTTCCCGTCATGCAGCCCTTGATGGCTTACCAAAACTCAGTAAGCAGCCCTCTGCCCAAAATAATTGCCCGCCCCAGTATCAACTGTGTTGCAAAAGGTGTACTAATACATAAGAACACCACACTAATGATTCTCACACTTTCTTCACTTTAATTAAGTTTTTCAGACAACAGAAGTGTTAAACAAACAATCAAGATGGGGATCCTTCTCTCTGCACATATTTTCTGATTTTTACTTTTAAAGGTATTCTCTCATTTACAGTTATCATGCCATGATTCACATAACATGTAAAAAAAAACCCACTGTACTAAATTCTTAAAACCTTGAAAGATCTCTTAGAGAATTACAATACATAAGATTTCTTTCTAAATGATCCAAAAATTTCCCATTAACTAGTTAAAGGAAGAAAGTGACAGAAGAGCAACTAATGCTACATCTTCAGTTAAGGTTATAAACTGATCAGTTCAGGTTAAGAAATCTCCATATAACAGAATGCTAGTAATACTACAGTATATGAATTACAGGGGCTTAATTTGATTTGAAGGATCTGGCATGGGTCAGAAGCAGGATACTGGTCTACATTGCCTTTTTTTTTTTTTTTTTTTTTTTAAATGTACAACTATGATTATCTTAACATTTAATCAACCATTCCCCAAATCTGCCCTCACATCCCCAAAGTAAATATAACTTGTTTTTAAGCTCAAAACATCCAAGAAAAACAGAAAAAAATGGGTGCAGGTATAAGTCAAATAGATAAAAATGTAAGGCTAGAATAGCCATCGCGTACACCTATTAAAGTATTTTGTATGCCACTGTCTCTCAGAATGCAAGACTTTACAGAATGCATGATTTAATACAAGATAATTTGAATGCAAATTACTTGTAATGTGTTATCTTGAGAAATATGCTATAAGTAGCTTCTTATCAATATAAATGTATTATACAGCACAAGAAAGCACACTCACCTTATCTCTAATGTGAATGTTCGTTAAGTATTCAGATGGAACATGGAAGTCTAGATAAGGGAATCAGAATTGACCTAATTGTTAAACCAAGTCATTGATTCTCATTTGCAAATATTAACAAAATATTAAATCACAGCCAATTTTCCCATACCTATGTCTTGAGGTCGACAAGGTGAAGATGCCCAAGGTGATGCAAATTTGGGGTAGAGATTTCTGAAGAAAACAAATTTAAAAGCAATAAGGAACAATATACCCATCCCATTCTCCCCAGACACTTACATTTTTCACTTCGTTTTCAAAAGCACCGACTGACCCACCCGCTTCTACTGTGAGGTCCTAACCCTCTGTTGAAGATGGTAGGAATATCACCATAGAATTCTACAGTGCTGGGATTCCATCTTCTACTGTGCTTGGAATGCAAGTACCTTTGGCTCCAACCTCTTTTAGATGCCCAATTTTACTAGGTAGAATGAAGCACAGTGTAATCACTCATAACCGTGACATGCTTATAAACCAGCACCTCTAACTTAAAAGAGTTTTATTTAAAGGAAATAAAGCTTATGCTGGCAGGTCTCTCTCCTAATGACTGATAAAGATTTTACAACTTTTACACTTCCTTTAAATTCTAGGAGTGTAAAAAAGCACATAAAGAACCATTAAGGGGAAGGGAAGGAGAATTTTAGATTTTGCTTTTATTTAATTCTTTATGTTGTGCAAAGAAAAAGAAAACCAGGGCCATTATATGGCTAAGGACATACTGAAGAACTTAGACATTGCACCAGTGACTTTATGATCAACTGAGAAACAATGGAATGTATTAATCATAATCAGCAGATAGTAGAAAAAAGAGAGGACAGTGCAACACAAGATGCAATTTTGTCAGCTGCCGTTTCATTTTAATTATTTGTGACAGTAGGATATTATAGCATATTTTGTAAATGAAACTTCAGAACGGTACCCTATTAAATCTTTGCATCTTTCTAGCAGGAAGGCATCATAATAGCTGCTATAAAATCTCTGAAGCCTGGGAAATTAACAAAGGCTGATCACTTCCCCAACTGCGTTTTGCAGTCCACAGGTACCCAGATCAAGTGATACTAATTCTACTGCAAACCAACTGCACCACAAGACTGACAACTTTTGCCAGAGACTGACAGAAGAGACTTCAGTGGCAGAGGCAGCTTGTAGGAGTGGAAAATGACCAAGAACTTCCTTGTGTAAGAAGGTGGATTCTAGAGCAAAGCTTCCTTCCATCAGTTCCATAGCCTCATACCCACCTTCCAGGTCTGCCAAAGGAAACAGCAGAGACCAGGCTTTTGCAAGGAAACCACTTCCCTGCCTCTAACAGGAGAAAAAAATCAGTCCAAGTGTGAAGCGCTTCCCAAGGAGTTGAAGAATAAAGGCTCATTACCCATTTAAATACTACCATAAAAATCAAAAAGGAACACAGATCCATCTCTCTCATCAGTCAAATGGAAAAACCTCAGCAAAAAACCACCACACAGTATAGACCCTTCTTCTAATGTTATCAACCTATCAATGCTATCAGCAAGAATTTAAGGAGCTGATCACTACCAAATTGTGTGGTGTCAGACTAACTTAATGTATGCCATAAGTAAGGACTAATTGCAGAAGACTGGAACATTAGACTACAAAATATATGCAATGCAAAAGGTTAAAATGAGCTGGTCCCTTTGTCAGTTTTGCCCTGCATGATACTGAATGAATGGACATTTAGCTTGACTACTAAAATGTAAGTGGTTTTATTTTAGTTCTTCATTTATCTGACTGTTTTTTGTTTTTTTTTTTTTAAATAAAAGCTCATTCCTACCTACAAGTATAATCTATGTAAAACTGGCATCTTTCCTAGAAATACTCATAAAATGAAAATGCTAGTGACAAAGTTACATATTTTAAATATGCTTTATATTTTTCAAAAGCACATTTTAAAGCAACAGGTAATGCTGCAAAGAAGTTATTCTGTGCTCTTAAGCCAGGAAGACATTTTTAACCATATCGCAAGTACTCCATAAGGCAGAAAGGTTGAGTTTTCGAGGTCTGAAATGTATTTAACTATTCATGTAGCATTTATAAAAGCAAAGTGATGATGTTTGACACAGTGGGTAAAAATACAGCTTTTACTTCAGGGGAAGTACAATCATTTAGTAAGCCTTTTTCCTGTATTCAAACTAAAGCTAGCTACTGCAGGACAAATATCTGGGTCAAATGTTATCAGGCGAACAATATACATAAAAGATGACAAAATATGTAACAATTCTTCATTAAAAATCAACCAACAAAAACAAGAACAAGAATAGTCTTGAATAAGCGTGCATGTTAATAATTTTGGTCAGAAATATGCACAACATACCAGTATGCCTCCAACTGTGTACATCACTGCCAAGAACATAAAAGAACCTAAAGGAAGCCATACTAGGTCAAGTCTATCTAGCCCACATTGCACAGAAGCAGCAGGGTCTACACCAGGGGCGGGCAATTATTTCGGGTGGAGGGCCGCTTACCCAGTTTTGGCCGCATGGGTAGCCCCGGGAAAAGCGGCCCCTCGCCTGCCCTATGGCCGGTGCTCCCTGCTGCAGTCGCTCACAGCCCATGCGGGGCTGTCCTGAGCAGGCACGGGCAGCCCCACGTGGGCTGCAGGTGGATACAGTGCAGGGCGCTGGCCACGGGGCAAGTGAGGGGCCACTTTTCCCCGTGCTCAGCACTAGCTCGTAACCTGCCCCTGCTGCCAGCCTGGGCCCCATGCCGGCTTGCCTGTCGGGGCTGTGTAGCACTATGTGCAAACATATGCCACTTCTTCTTGGGGAAGATAATCATACAGATGGCTGGACCTGCATTCTGTTTAACTTTTTGGCTTTTCTGCTCCCACTCCCTTCCCAGTCTCCCCACCCCAGTGCCTGCCCCAACAGCTTCTTGTCCTCTTACTTTTGTTTATGGGGTAGTTCTATCTATAGGGTTTGATTTTTTTCTTTTTTTCAACAGCATTAAGGCTTATACCCTTTATATTCTCCTTCCTCTCAGCCAAAATTCTCTTTACCTGGTCAGCTCACTCTGTCCTAGGGTGCACTCACTTCACACTAGGCTGCTCTGAGCTTGAACAGAACACTCTTACAGCTGCCTCAACATGTATACCTTTGGCTAGGCTTTAGTTCCACCTGTCTAGCAGGTGGTTCACATGGCCTCTACAAAGTAGCTGAGGGCCCTCCCTTGATCAAGAAGTCCTATCAAGGTGGGGAATCAGTCAACTTCCAATGTCCAGCTCTTCTGCAGAGGGCCTGAGAGACATGAGTGGAGTCACCCCCCATGACCAACTTTGGAACTAGCTTAGCCTTTGAGTTTTAAAATGTATTTGAAGGACTGCTTCACTGTCCTTTAGGATAATTTCTTTTCTAAAGCAGGATTACTATTCAGTATGTCAAGAATATAAAAAAAAAAAGCTTGCTTTAAAAGCCTTGCTGAAATGGGCTTTATTAAGTAAGAAAGCAAAAGGTCCACCTGAGCCAGATGGCACCTGGGGAGTGCAGATTCAAGGCACGCTAGGAAGTGATGTGGTTAATAACATGTCTGAGTGCCCTTGGAATCTCCAGTCCGACTAGCCAAGTACCTATATGAACTGGGTCAAGTGTGGAAGCTTGCAGCAGCAGTAAAGAGCTGGGCTTGAACTCATGTCTCTGGAACCATAGCAAGATCCCTCAACTTCCCTGCCACCAACCCCTAGCAAAATATTATGCAAGTCTCAGAAATAAACCTACTGAGATAATCTAAATTAAAAGCAAAAAATCAGTGCACCACATGAAAGAGATAGTAAATAGAAAAGATTACACCTCAGTCTAGTACTACTCATGTGTAGTAAATGCAGATTCCACAATTTTCCTCTTTACATTTACCATTCTGAGTAGTGTGAAGATCAGCAAGATTCTTCTGTGCATGAGATGCATCCAGTGCCTTTTAGATTAATTTCTATTTTTAATATGTTGTGTGTCAAGTTAAGCAAGACAGTTAGGTGTCCCATGCGTTTCCCATCTATCTCACAAGATACTGACCTGGCTTCTAGTTCTACAATCCAGACCAAGTAAAAGGACAGAGTGTTGTTGCACTATCCCAGAAGCAAGGTAACATCCAAAGTTCCTTTTTTCCTATTGCTCCAAAATGGCACAAATGGCCTTCTATGCTATACAGTAAAGTTGCTGTGTTAGAGGGTAGAGGCAAGGCTGTCACTTCCCACCCATACACATGAAAGGGGAGGTCATAGCCCATCTCCCCCTCTCAGGCTCTACTGATGAGCAGCCCATACAGTGACATAAGGAGGCTCTTTATATCATTTACTCTTCTTCTTTGTCATGTCAGAGATCACAATTGACTACATGGAGAAAAAGACAACAACTAAATTACCAGAAGTTTACTCTGAACCTACACCGCTACCTATTTAAGGTTAACATTTGGTGCAATACAGCTAACAATACACCTGCCTAGTTATTAAAATGCAAGTTTAATTTACAACAAAAACTGTCTGTTTGTTAAATGTATATATATCCTCAAGGACTTTAAAAATAACTAATGTATGAAATTAACAGCACACTGCCATTTCCCTAAAGAAAATCTATAAGTTAATGGAATAAGGAAAGCCTCCAGGTTTATTGAAACCATGCAAAACAAGATCTCATTGTGCCCCCCAGCACATTTTGTTTGTCAATGAAGGTTTTATTTTTACTGTCACTGCCTTTTCAAATTTAATTTTGCAAAATAACTTGCAGTTTTTATATCTGCATAAGTTGAAAAAACCCATTATTACAAACAGCTGCATAATAAAAACAAAATTGACAATAGTACCAAAAAGAAACTTACTCAGGAGAGTTGAGATTGAGACCTAATGTTGTTAAATCACTTCCTAATGCAAGATGTACCATTCCTGGGTCTGTCTCTGCTGCCCTGATGAATGTTAACAATCCAATCATTCCAAACTGGTCCGTCACCATCCCTTGAGGAATGTTGGTAACCCGACCTGGGAAAGACCAATAAGTTCATTCTCTCCTTTTATGAAATAGAAGAATCTTGTGAATGGATTTTCAGAAGGACTTTAAAAAATTGAAGGAAAATTAACAAGGCATACATACCATCAGGTAACACCTGGATCCCTTTTTTCTGCTGGTTGTTGTTTTGCGTTGTTGAACTTTTATCTCCAGGGAATTTGGGTCCATCTGCACTAGATGATGTTTTGCCTGATGTATTCAAATTCTATTAAGGAAAAATATTTTGTGCAGGTTAGCATAAAACAGAAAACATAAACCCAACATGGAAAAACTGGTATGAGTAGGATGTCTGAAATAAGTGCTCTATACAGTTATCAACAGGATTATACATGTTACAAAGCTGAAGCCTGATCATATCCCTACAGAAATTAAATAATATACCACACTACAAGGTTCTTCACCTCTAAATTTTGGTGGTGGGAGAGAAATGTTGGTTTACTGATCTTAGAAACTATGATGTCGCACTTGTTTTTAATATTTCCTTTATGTACAAATATACCAAGACATGGATGCCCTCAACTTCTCAGGCTTTATGCCTGAACAACATGTAAACCATCTGGGACTCTGGTACAATGGGTTACTTATTACTTTTGCAAAACTTATAAATCTAAAAAGTGTTGTTTCTGGACATTTATCCCCCTGCCCAAATAAGAACCTCATCCAAATATATGGCCTGAAATGTAATAATAAAAAGGAAAGAATAAACATTGGGAGCAGAACATTACTTAAATTCAAGCTACTGGCGTTCCTAAACATGGGCACAGAAAGAACTTGTAAGACTTTCAATTCCTTGCCAACAGTCTGTCCTCACAAAATGCTTTTCTGAGGTGCAGTAACTGACACACTGGGATAATAACCGGACCCAATTACAGAAGCAAGCAAAACATACTTGACATGCTTACACCCTTTAAGACAGACGTATAAACACAACATCTGCCAAGGAAGTTGTATAAAATGAATGCTCTCTACTGCCACAAACTGACAAAAAATGATCTTCCATAACCATTACTTATTATTTCTATATCACAGATATATAATCTTGACACAAAACTGTCCTTAAGGGATCAGGGTTAGATCAAATGATACTCCTTGAAATACTCAGCATTGTGCCTCTTCTTACTTTTTAGACACCTGGCCCCCAGAGAAAAAACCACGGATTGGAGTTAGACATTTAGGTTCCCTATATGATATAGTAGAGGCCTCAGAAGTGGATCCACAGCAGCCAGCACGCTAAGTCAGGAGTCAGTTAAGCTAAACAATAGAAAATGCTGATAACATGGGGATAGGTATCCAGGTTGTGGCCGTATTGGTCTAGGGGAAAAGGTAAATCAGGACTCGTAGTAGAGAGATGATATATTTTATTAGACCAACAAGATTTTTGCAAAAAAACAAACAAAAACAAAACAAAACAATCTTTAATTGCAAGCTTTCTGGCACAAACACCCTTCATCAGGCATTGGGAAAAAAATTGTAACGGTTCTTCTAGGTAGAAATGAAAGTTCCTATTTCAAAGGATTTCACGGAGAAGTCAATAGATGGAAAACTATTTGAGGTAATTTGCATCATCACAGATCCACACAGGAGGTGAAAGGCTCCATACCAGCTATGAACTGACTGCCCAGAAGAGTTTTCCATCTATTGACTCCTAAATCTGTCATGCTAAAGCAGTAGTGTAACTCCATTGGTATATTACCAATTTTAAACTAAGCTGCCAAAAAAGAAATTACCATCGAAGGAAAACATGTTTTTATATTTACTTACAGATTTACTGTCATCGTTACTAGATGTTGGATCTTTATAGCTGGAGCCTGGTAATGCTGGAAAATCCTCATTGTGTATCGAGAAGTCCTGGGATTGCTCACTTGCTGGTTTTGTTACCATTCCAACTACAATCAAAATCAAGTCAGTTACGTTAATATTACCATAAAAATATTTTTCTGCCATTTGGTTACACTTTTTTGTATTACAAGTACGGAATGAAGTGTACCATAAATATAGAACTGAAAGAAAATATAAAAAGAAAAGAAAACAACAACAAGAGAGCATTACTGCTCATCAATACAATTCCAACTAAAAATGCTCTTAAGAAAAGAAAAAAAAAATCCGAGAAAGATTTGGGGCTCAATTCTTATCCAGAACAGCTTGATTTCACTACATTTACATTCTGGATTAAATTCATTTTTATCACCACTACCACTCTCTTGCCCATTTGAACAAACAAAAACTCTTCTGAAGATTATCAAAATTGTTTTTAATAATAATAAAATAAGACTGATGAAGGGAAGAAAGCGTTATGGCCGTAAAGGTATAGATCTCTTTTCTTTAGTACTGTAAAGATTTTCTGAACAAAGATAGGTCAGATTATGTTTTACAAATTACTTGCATGTCTTTTGCAATAGAACATCACTAGTTGTAGTTGCCAATGACTTGTATAGCAGAAAAATTGTAAGTGCTTAGCCTGCAACTCTGCTCTGACCCCAATTTCTAAAAAGTAGGCCATTCCCACTGAACATGAAATCCAAGACCACAGAGCAGCACTTGCTATTATACCAACAAAAGAATACTTCAGAGGCTGCCATCCTAGCTCAGATGCACAAAACCCACCCCCCAGCAATCAGGGCTTCATCACACTAAGTACAGATGGAGGGAAGCCTAGAGCTCATTTTTTCAGAGATTAATGTGAGCACATGAACAAAAATTGCATTACTGATGCCTTTCTAGTGGTTCAATGTCAAGGAGGTCTACTTCCTAAATTCACAGAAGGGAACTATGTAGAGTGAATACTGTTGTCTTGACCATTACTGTTTTTTCACCCAAGCAGTTAGTCAAATTTTAAACTGTTGCAGGTTGCTTCTGTTATGAGGAGAAATCGAAGGAGTCTTGCATTTCTCTGTACACAGCAGGA